GCAATTGAAAAGTTCAACAAAGAGAAATTAATATTGAAAGACCAACATTCAAGTCAAAGAAGGAAGATAGTCAATAACTAAGAGGTTTGGGGAGCTTTTCTTATAATTAATAAGTTCAATTATTTTCAATTTTTTTGTGCTTGTTAATTGCTTGTTGATTGAAATTTGGATGAAATTTTAGTAAAGATATATAATTCAATGAATATTTAATGAGGTTTCAAATAGCTATAGTAATTGATTAAAATTTATTTTAGGTTTTTTTATAATTTTTTAGGATTTAAGATTTTATTGGAATTTTTACTAAAATTAAGATTTAAAATTTACTTAGGATTTGATTAAAATTTATTTAAGATTTAATAGGATTATATTAGGATTTAAGATTTCATTGGAATTTGATAAAGGATTAGAATTTAGGATTTGATAAGTGTTTGGCTTAGGATTATAGTTTAGAATTTACTTAGAATTTGGTTAAAATTTGTTTAAGATTTTATTAAGATTTTTTTAGGATTTATTTAGTATTTGATTAGTATTTAGGATTTTATTAGGATTTATTGAGAGTTATATTAAAATTTGATTAGGATTCAATTATGATTTTTATTTTTGATATTTTTTAAAGATTTTTTTATTATATATATTTTATTAAGATTAATTTATAATTTCTTTGTATTTCTTTTGTAAGTTCTTGAGACTTCTTTTGGATTTAATTAATGATTGATTAGCATTTTTATAATTTAATTAAAGTTTATTTAAGATTCTATGAGAGTTGTTAAGATCATCTTCTTGCAAGTTCTATTTTTTTTCACAACTAGATATCTAATATATTCTCAAGTAGATTTCATATAATACGACAATATCATTATATAGCTTCTAGTTAAATAGTACATATGAAGGCAAGAATGAAGCTTTTTTCATTCTTGTCAATACCTTTCTAATCCTTAGTCTTCTTTTAAGACTTTTTGGTCTTCTTGTCTTCGGCAATAGCCATTCTTATTTAATATTATACCATCTTCGAAGGGTTTTCTAGTCTTTTTGAATGGCACAAGAATTTATTAATCTTTTAGTTCTTTAAAATTCATATCTTTAATTTTTGGTTGGAGAAGATTTGAGAGATAAATATTTCAATTGTATTTTATTCTCATAAGATAAATAATTTGTCAATAGTCAAGTGGATGGTTTTGAGGAGTAAGAAGTGAATAATATCTTGATTGAAGAGTCAGCTTGCTATCTTATTAATTTGCGCTTTTTAAAATAGGTTAGATAATGTCTAATATTTTGATGAGATTCTAGCAATTAGTCAAATCATTTGGTTGTTATTTCTTTTTATTAGGATGGACTCAGTAGTAAGTAATTATCAAACTCATAAGATAATATTGACATGTATTGTGGATGATTAGTGTAATTAAGATGTGGATGATAATAGAAGAAAAGAGAGGAATAAAAAGAACTTGAGATGATTGTTAGATTGATTTTTATATGGCTAATAGAGATTAAAGTCGTGGAATTGGTTGTTTTTTGTATAGAGTCTTGTATGAGTATCAAAAGTTCAAAAGGTTTGATCTTTGAAGGCTACAATATTTCTCCTTCTTTGACGTTTTGTTTTTCTATAAGAGATTGAAGTAGCAAGTCCTCATCAACATAGGTCGGGATCTCTAGTTGAGAGATAGCTTCAATTAGTACAATGTATAAAATCTTACCATGTCTATCACACTCAAGGTCTATTCTTCAATGTGTTGCAAGCATTGTGAGTGAAAAACAATCATCTGGAGACATTTTTCAATTGAGGTGTACCTAAACTTTGAAGTCGTCAATGTCGCATCATTGAAAATGATATTTGTTGAAATAGAAGAAATTGTTGTCTAGTCTAATCTTAAGTTGTAGTATGACATGATATAAAGTGCTACCATCCACAACTATCTGCCATTGATGAATCCACTACATCGCATCCTATTATCTTGAAATCAGAGATTTGTAGCATGTAACATAAATATAAAGGAGGTGTGTTAGTAATTATTTCTAACAACTTTAGCTTATCCCTTTAGTTGTTTGTGTTGTATTGGTTTAATTGTTTGTGTTGTATTGGTAGAGAGAAAAATATGAGTTTCCATGACTTCTTATAACATAGCACTTAGGTATCCCTTTTGATTGTTTGAGTTAAACATGTAGATGATAGACTAGATTTGAAGTCTTTGCTTGACGTCTTTTGGGGTAGATGAGAAGTTTAGAAGTTCCCAGACTTAAACTTCAAAAAGACTAGATGAAACCAAGCATTTCTTATTTGATGATGAAACCGAAGGATTGTGATCACCCAAGCTAAGGGGTTTTGCTACCTTCTCTTTCTTACCAATTACATGATGAATGTTGGGGTCCAGTGAACAATGTCGAAGCCTATAGGATTGCTAATGTAGTGTGTTCCAATTATGGTGTTGTTGTACGCTTTGGATTCTTCTCATAAGTAGGCTCTGATTGTATGACTGGAGCTAGGGATGCCATGGAGGGATGGGTTGATCCTGTTGGCTTCTTGCTCGTTGTTGTTTTCATTTTTTCGCGTGGTCGGGTCTTCCTCAGGCACTTTGCAGCTTCATGTTTGAGCTCGAGGCAGTGGCTGCATTGGCAGGGTATGCCTTCATATTCTACTTTGAGTTCCACTTCTTCCAAGGTGAATGGGATTGGCAAAATGATGGTTGATGGGATATGTTTAATTTCAAATAAAAGAATACAGAGGTTGGGCGTTGATGATTTCTTGAGGTAGTCGACTTGTATGCCCAACCACACGGCTTTCCCTATTTGAGGACAAACCGAAGAGAGGGCTCTGTAAAAGTTGTCCAATTTGGGGAAGAATATTCGAAGAGGGATTTTAATTCCTGTTGGCGTCAACGGGTTGAACTGGGGGCGCCACGGCTGCAGATACAGGAGATGGGAGCCGAAGTAAAGGGGACTCTGCGTCAGAGCTTCTCTTGCTTCAGATTTGGACACAAATGTCAACACAAAATAACCACGGTGAAGCATTCTAATGCGGGACACGATTATCGAGGGATCAATAAGGTTTACATAGATCTAGTCCTGTATTTTCAGCAGTGAAGAGCGTTTTGTTGATGCGAATCCAATAAGAGCAAGGCAAGAGAGCACCTTGGCATCTTCGTCGATGAGGGCAAGGGTTTCCGGTGAGAGATTAGGTTGAAGCGTAGGTTTAGAAGGGAATTGTGTGGCCCTTATTGCTTTGAACGGTTTCGTCCAAGGCGGTGCTCGGGCAGATGCAGTGGTATCTCCCATGGGCGAATACCTCCAGTGCCTAACGCTGTACTCACCTATGGTCAACTTCTGTTCATAAATCTATACTGAAGAAAGAAAAAAAAAAAAGAAAAAAAAGTAAAAAAAGAAAAAAAAAACCTCACTCAAACATGTGTATCAGTTTATAGGGCTACGAGATACTTCACGAATTTGCTTGAAAATCGACGCAGCTTGTTTCCTTGAATGCGCAAACATCGTCCAGCGCTTGTTTCATCAATCTAAACGTTTCCCGTACGAAAAGAACAGTAACAAACATCGTCAAAGGTCCTGTGCGAGACCCCGCCAGCAGGCCGGCGATTCTGGCCGCGTCCGTAATGTACGGGGCCCTTCCCTTATGATGCCCTCAACCCCCCGCAGTCACTCATTTTTAGCATTCGGAACAATCTGTTGTAAATAAAATTGACACTTCAAAGCTTCGGAGACTTTCATATAAACTTTACATGAAAATAGTACAAAACGTTTAATGTGTAGTTGAAAACTAGAAGTCGATTCATTCTTTACAAACTACTTCCATGCATAAAAATTTTGATGCCATTAATTGCCGAATTTGTCACTGCCAACAAGTGTAAGGCTATTCCTGCATCTAGCATGACTTTGGGATACCGTATACTTTTGATTCTCCATGACATGTGACTAAGCTTCCGCAGAAGAGATTCTGTTACATTGTAACAAGTTTTTCTTTCAATAATGTAATGAACCCAACTAAACAATCATTTTGCTATTGATTATGAACTGAAATCACAAACATCATTGTCAATCTGTTATCACTGATATCTGCACACGAAAGGTGGCTAAACTGAACTTCTAAGCACCAATTTGCTGTTTCTCTTCCATTCTAGGTACTGCAACAGTTTCCATTAAGATGAGGCTTAGAAAATGGATTCTTCACACTTTGTCCCGCATTTGGACCGAGCAACGCTATTTAGGTTGGCCTAAGTAGGATCGGTAGATCTCCACAAGCGTGCTGCGGAGCTTCGAGGCAGCAAAGCAGTGAGCCATTGTGTGCAAAGTCCACCCAGATAAATCCGAAACTAGATGCCGAGCACGAAGTGCAACTTGTCTGCTCTGATCCACAAGTTGCAACGAACACCTTTCGGCGATACTCGAATGGCAACGCAAACACTTTACTGGCTGTCGGTTATGCAAGAAAAGCTGTTCTTATCACTGCCAGACGCTGCAATTGTGTTGGATAGGATTTGTGGTCAACCCCGTGTGCATCGCAACTAACCCTCTGTTCCTCGAGAACTCTACCCAACCGAATTTAAGTGAATCTCTCCTAGAGCACATGCATGGTTTGGCGAGTTCTTGTTCGTGTCTAATGTTTGTCCAGTTTCCAAGTGGCATGAAGAGGTGGGTTTTATTTTTAGGTATATAGTATTTTTGGCAACGAACAAAACCACATTCTTCCATTGCAGATTGAGTCTGAAATGGCTATGATGTAAGATGCTCGTGGGATGTAGTTTTTCCATATTTCCTTGCAGGTGTGAATTGCAGGACTGGGAAGTTCCGGAAACCAGAAGAGCACTTGAGAATTTTGTAATAAAGAAATAAGTAGGTGAGCTGGCGATGGTGGGCTTGTGGAACGTGTGGGTTGGGTGCGGAAATCGTGCTGGTTACGGTATCTTCGCTGACCTGCGCCACCGCTTTTACCTGGTCAACCCCGCAAACTGCTGGATGCTTTTCCATTTTTAATAAATTCTTGTGGACTGAACCCTTGAGCTTGGAAGATGCACCATTATTGCACGTTGCTTCGGCTAATCTCGTGTGGCTTTGGACTTGACCAAAATTTACAGCATGCTGTTACGAAAGCACTTCGCGCCTCGAATCTCCTGAGCCGAGGCTCCCGCGACATCAATAGAATAGCGTCTAACCGTGGAGGTAGACTTGAGTGCCCACACTCGCGACTGACCGCTAGCCACTTTACTTTGATCGGTGTGACGTATGTCAAGTTTGTCTCAACTGTGTCAGTCTGTTTGATGCTTAGAAAGTTCTGTACTATCGCCGTTACCTCGGATATTGGCGCTGGGGTTTGCTCTCAGATGAACATGTGCTGGACAACCCAGATTTCAGCAGCAGTCCTCCGTCTTTCCTTCGACTGCTGGTGTTATTGACCTATATGTTCAAAACAACGCTCCTAGCATCGCTCTGAATCCTGTTTTTTCTGCGTCTGAAGTGAAAAAGTTTATGGTACAGATTACTTCTTCTATAGAATATGTTGTGCTCCTGAGTTGCAACGGAATCTTGCACACAGTGAAGGTACACATGCGATGTTCTTCAGCATAGCCATGTAAACATTTCCAAACGAATGCCACAAAGTATCCCACACTCGCTGACTAAGAGGGTATTGGGCAGCATCCACAGCATCTGCCTAGGAGCAGACTTGACAGTTTATACAAAACGCTGCGTGTGGATCGGGTGGTGATTGGTGACCACCGCGAATTGAACGATGCTCGTTCATAGTCGGTGAGTACACAGGTACTGTCAACTGATCACGGTCCTCGCAACATCCTTTTCTACTTGCTCAAACAGGTTGTTCGGATGGTACTCACAGGGCCCAGCACGGAGAGAGGAAAGTGAAGTCGCCAACTACGGAGTCCCGCAAAAAGATGCTGAACAGCCAAGGGCAAGGCTCCACCCCCTGTGCTGCCTGCAAGCTCCTACGGAGACGATGCGCCCAGGAGTGCCCCTTCTCGCCCTACTTCTCGCCGCAAGAGCCCCAGAAATTCGCTTGCGTTCATAAAATCTTCGGTGCCAGTAATGTCTCGAAGATGCTGATGGAGGTGCCGGAGAATCAACGCGCCGATGCTGCGAGCAGCTTGGTGTACGAAGCGAACGCTCGCATCCGCGATCCAGTTTACGGCTGCATGGGAGCCATCTCCGCACTCCAACAGCAGGCGCAAGCTCTTCAGGCCGAGCTGAACGCTGTCAGGATGGAAATTAATCGCTACCGCCAGCATGAAAACTCACCGACGAATGGCACTCTCACCACCACCGCATCCGCGACCGCGCTTGTATCAGGTTACCAAGAGCTCGTTCAGGATCGAGGGCGGGCTTCCGACACGAGATCCAGCAAGCCCTCTACTACGGACGTTCACACCACAGTTCATTCTCCCAGCAGCACGGTGGCCACGTCCGAGTCCAAAGATCGAACGTATTGGTCGCCCATCACGTGAGTCGACTTCAGCCTCACCCCTTTGCTCCAGATTCCTCGCTATGGATACTGCGCGGACAGTCGATTAACTGCACTTTGGCGGTAGAACTTCATCAAAAGTTAGGTACTCTGATACTCCCACTCCCCTCACCGAGGTATTCAATTGCTAGGATAGACACAACTGCAGAGAAATTTGGCCTGATCAGCTTTACTTCTCCATCAACAAAGTCCAGACCACGTAGCACAAGTCTAGAGCAGTTGGCTGTGCGGAGTTTATCTGGTGCTTCACTTGGAGCCTCATACATGATCATACTTCTTTTAGTATCTAATTAGCTTCAATTGTACAATCGTACTGTCATTAAATTGGACACTATCGACAGCGAGTGAAATTATTAAACTGGCGATCAGGAATGATAGCATCAAAGCTAGTCCAAAAGCAGCAGCCCAGCATACTCAGTGATAAGGGCTCAAGGTCATAGTGCTTCCAATTATGTCTTAAGCAAATGATTCATTTGTGGGGTGAAATGGTGCCTTCGCCAGAGTGGCGTAAGCTCTACCTCCCATTCATAGAAATAGAACAGTCCGGTGAAAGAACACTCAATTCGCAAAATTAAACTTCGCAAATACTAACTACGGAATTTTCTATTGCTCATGCTTATGACAAACTGAATATATGAAACAAGAAAGAACAAAAAAAAAATAATCAGGAATCTGCAACTCCATAGTATGCAACTCGTTTACAAACATCACTTAACCATCTCAAAACGCAACTATATTTACACTGTACTTTACAACACATGCCCATTCTCTATTTCCTAAAAATAGTTTGACGCACACAGAAAAATTTGCCCAGAGGAGGACACAACAATCTGTAAATCCAATGCAAAACGAGTAGAAACAACTGAATAATAAACACTGTTACAAGCAAAAAAACCAACAGTACACAGAACACTACCACGAGAAAACACCCTACATTCAAAACTGACATCCCCGAATCCACGTTCACATAAGCAACTTCCGCTGTTCCATAACTACCAATCTGCCTCCAGCCCAAGAGCCCCCGGCTTTCGTCCCGATCGGGAATCCCATGCACATCTCAACCCGCGCCTCCGCCCCGCCCTCCCGTATCATCACCACACCCCTCGCACTCCCAACAACCCATTTCCACCCACACCACCCCCGCAACCACAAATCCATTCGCGCACTCTCCATCAATCACATCCCTCAACCATTCCTACCGCCCCTTCACACAAATGCACGCCATGCTCACAAAACATCCGGGGAGCTTCAAGCTCTTCTTTTCCAGTCAATGTCATTACACTTCGACTTCTTACGTCGTCGGTGCCACTGCACCGTGGCCGCCTTCATTCCTCGGCCTGCCCCAACTATCTCCGCCTCGCTTCACGCCTTCGTTGTCCAACCCGACTCCGCCGACTTCTTGCCATCACCAACCCCACCCATATCCCTGTGGATGTGCACGCTCACGCCACCCTCCCTGCGCGTCCTCGCCTGCCACTTGCGACCAAAACTGTGGCGAACCCCACCAACACCATTGTCCACTCTTCTCCTCCACACGCTCCTGCAACCCCCTTCCCCGATCGTCTCCCACGCATTCCCTCCCTCTTCCTGCTTTCCGCCCTACGATGGTCTCCGCCGCCTCGGAGCTACGTCGTCCTCGCCCTCCCGGCTGCTGCTGTGTTTGCTCTCGCCTCCGGGCTTCTGGCTCTCTCTCCGACTCCCGCCCCTCGACGCGCTGCGCCGCTCGCTCTCCGCTCTCGACTCCTTCCCATCGCCGCCCCTCCCTCCCTCGTCCTTGCTCTGTGCTCGTGATCTGCCCGTCAACTCCTCCCCCTTCCCCGCGTGGCTCTCTCCCTCCTGCCTTCGCCCCTCGTGGTGTTGCGCTCTTCTCCCTTCGTGGCCACCCTCCATCGACCTCCCCCTGTGCGACCCCGCTTCCTCAGTCGAACCCGACCCCGATGCCCCTGGCTCCCGAGACCTGTCGATCCCCGCCAGCAACAGCCTGTCCCGCTCGTCCGTCAACGCTGACCCGTGGATCACGTGCGGCGAGGATCTCCGTGAAGGCGAGTAATGCCCTCGTGATCCCACCCTCTCCCTCTCCCTCTCCCTGCTTCTCTCTCGTCCTCGCGGCCACTCCTCCTCCCTCTTGTTGTTCAGCAGTCGCTTCAGACCCGCTGGCGGAGACCTCTGCGCCCTCGGGGGAGGTGGCGGCAGCGGCAGCTTCGGAGGTGACGGCGCCCCCTGCTGCCCACCGGGACCCTCCGCATCCATGCCCGCACCCACACTCGCACCCTCCCCCTCCACTTTCGCCTCGCTCCCGTGCGCACTTCTGCTCTTCCGCGCTTCGCTCCCTCCTCCCGCCTCCTCCCCCGCCTCCTCGTTGTTCGACATCGATCTTGGTGGTGTTGCGCCCACCCTGGATCTTGCGCTCGCCTCCCCCGCCGTCCCTGCCTCCACCGCACGCCGCCTCCCTGAGAATCCCCTCTCGTCTTGCTCCACTGACCCCGCGAAACCTCCATCTCCCCGCGTCCACCTGAATCTGCTCCGGTCCGGCCCGCCCATCATTCCCGGCCCCCCGCGCCCCATCGAACTCCCCACCCCGGGAGGCAGCCCGGGACCGGGACCGGGACCGAACCTCTCGCCCACCCCCTTGAACCGCAGCGCCGGATCTACGCAGTGCGACCCCATCCCCATCCCCCCCGCCACCCTCGCGTCCACGCCCAGGCACTCCCTCCCCCTCAAATCCACATCCCCTCCCATCCTCATCGGATGCGCCAGCCCCGCGTCC